GGCTTTCAATTGGTCAAAACTCAGAGAGTCAGAATCAGGGGTAAAACAGAGAAGTTGACCTTTTGGTTAACTAATTGATTTCACGGTTTATAAGGCTAATTAGACTAAATGCATGCTTAATCGACTTTGTTTGCAAATGAATTGATGATTGATTTCTTTTAATATTGATTAGTGATGCATGATCTTCTGGTGGGTAGCTTAGGAATAGGGATTAGATATTAATTAGGTGCTTAAGGAATTGCAAGTGGGGGAAGCTTGGCGCCTCCCTCTCGCGATCTCGTCTTGACTCTCGCCTCTTCTCTTGCATCAAGGTAATGCTATGTTTTTTGCCGTTTTGCGCGTTGCATTTTCCGTGCCTTTTATTTTCACAGGACTGGCCGGATCTAGGTCTAGCTGTGTGCGGTGTAGGCAAAAGTCTCTGAACCGTCCAATCTCTTCAACCTATATTGAGATAGAAGAAAGAATATTGCCGGATTTGTGTGGTTTGGGGTCTGATTTCAGTGAGTTGCCCATGACTCAAGTCTTTTCAAGCCGATTTTCGATTGAAAAGTGGGAATAAAATTAGGGCTTCCATTTGATTTGGGGAGGATCGTGGTTGAGTACTCGAGCGTCGGTGTTTAACGCTCTTCCTAAATGCCATGATACTTCATTGCCTTTGAATGATGCTTCATTTAAGCTTATTTGATGATCTGGTATTATGCCCATGATGGTGTTGTTTTTTTAAGTTTTATTTCAGTAGTTTATGTCTGAAGGTTTCGTAAATGAAGAATGGTTGAAATGGAATATTGCAACTCAGATGAAGCTTATGAGAAAGTGAGGTAACAGGTCGCAGGAGTGGCTGATAGTGACAGTATGGCTATAGAACGCAATTGAGATGAAGCTTATGAGAAAATGGAATGTCGCTCTTCCTACTGAATGTTGCAATTCAGAAGTGTATGCATTTGAATGACCGGTTCCGTTGGACCGCCTGGGAACCGGTCTGGTCCCAGGGCCTGGCGGGCCTGTCCACGGTTCCGAAAACTAGGAATTGGTCCCTTCGGTCTGGTTACCGATTCCTAGGTGGGATCGGATTGGACCAGGAACCGATCACCCCTACTCTGAACCTCTCTTTTTAATGTTTGAGTCTTTCGTTCTTTCGTCTTCTCTTATGCATTCTATTCTTGACTCAATTTAAACTAACCATTGAAGTGAACCCATTAAGCTTCTTCCCCATTTACTCACGGCCACACTGCTCATACCCCAGTGAAGACTTCTGTTGACTTAGATTTTTTCATATTCTTTATTAGAAACTCACATACCATGGCTTCACACGGAGAACCATACATGACCTAATTCACCGACGACCAACTCCGACATTTACTCTGACCGCCTCAGAATCATCGCCACCACTCACCAGACACCACATGCACAATCAAACTATTTCATTATTTCGTGACACCGAAGCTTCCTAATTCACCGACGACCAATTCCGACATTTACTCTGACCACCTCAGAATCATTGCCACCACTCACCAGACACCACATGCACAATCAAACTATTTCATTATTTCGTGACACCGAAGCTTCCTAATTCACCGACGACCAACTCCGACATTTACTCTGACCACCTCAGAATCATTGCCACCACTCACCAGACACTCACATGCACAATCAAACTATTTCATTATTTCGTGACACCGAAGCTTATCATTCAAGAACACTAGGCATGTTACTTACGTACATCCCAGTTAACACGGCAGGTCATGCAGTATCTCTATAACTCATGCATTCTCACGAGTTCATACAAAGAAGGTAAATGGCCAAACTGTCATGGTCTCACTCTTCTAAAGTCTCGTCTCTAGAATCACCTATCCATATCAAAAAGAGAAATTAAGACACAAACCGAAACAAACATCTCCAATTGGCTTCCTGAACCTACAAAGTCCAAATTTGTACTGATACAGAAAACAATGAGCATGTGCACTAACTATGAATTCACTTCCAGCATACAAAAGTTCAATCACAATGCAATTTTCAGGAATTATCAGTCACGGACCATAGACTAGTAACAAAAATCAACAAACAGAGCATCACTTACATGATTACATGACTGCACTTGTCAAGACATAAGAACATCAAGCGCGCCTAGGATAGACATAATCTGTAACTCAACACATTCGTATAATCTCAATACAGTGAGCACATCAGAAGTTGAGTGCATTCGAAATGGACATACACCGAGACAAATACCATCAACCAACTAAGACCAAGCTGGTTCTAAGTGAATAGAAATCCTGATTCGAATCGTTAACAAATGACTCGATTCGTGCATGATGATATCAACGCGATCAATCAACGGAGAAGCTTCTAGCACAGACAAATCTTGATTTAACATCCAATAGGCGACATACATTTAGGTACAATAATCCTGATCAAGTAAACATGGCATGTGGGGATTTTGGCCGAGGATTGTAGGGTCAAAATTCCAAGTTATAATGAGAAGATAAAACACATAAATCTTAGTTTGAACACAAAACGATCAACCAGACATCAATATGTATGAACATTTCTAAGATTGTTACACTGGTTTCACTCAGGCATATGATTAAACGCATGGCAGGCGTCTCGGTGACAATCTGTGGCAAAAAGAGAATACGAGCGGGAGAAGAAACCCAAGAAAGAAAATAGCTTCTCGAACTCAAAAAAAAAAAAAATTCCCGAACTCCCTCTCCGCCTGTGCTTTGTCCGTCGCGTATGTGCATCCTGGAAAACTGGCGGTGGCTACCGGTGGAGCTTGCGAGAGCAAAACTGAGGGAGAAATGCTCGGTTGGGGTGAGAGAGAAAAATCGTCAGGATTCCATGTTCCGTTGGATGAAGCTCAGGGTGTTATTGAGTTTGAAGCTTAAATGGGTTGGGCATGGGATATCTATGTCATAATCCCTAATTTGTGAATTAATTTTTATAGGCGAAATTCAGGTGTCAAATAACTCAATTAGTAAAATCGAAAAGTTTAAAAACTCCGTTCGTTTCGTGAAAAACAACTTCTAGGAATATGTTATGTGGATTTTCCATCATTCGGTTCAAGGAAAAAAAATTAGTTAAGGAAAACATTTTCCTTCAATGGGGAAAATAAAGAGGAAATTATTTTCATCCTTTTTCTTTCACTGAGACCAAGAATGTTCTCGTCCATTCACTCATTTTAATTATTTTATTTTATTTTTAAAAAATTGAATTTTTAATTTCTAATTTCTTTATTTCTTTATTTCTTTATTTCTTTTCTTCATTTTTCTTTTTGCTTCTTCCTCAGCCAGTCGCTGGCCATGGCGATGGCCAGCGACCGGCCACAGGCGAAGAACAAGCTTGCTCGAGGTCACCATAGGTCGGCGAGGCTCTAGTGACCTCGGGCGAGGCTCGAGCCTCGCCTAGCTCGCTGGATGTAGCGAGGCTTGAACCTCGCCAAGCAAGTTGCGCGACTTGTCCTCCGGGTCGACCTTGTCCTCCACCTTTTCCACTACGTACGCTAGACTCTTGCGAGGCCTCGAGCTCGCCGGATCTAGAGAGGTGGAGCCTTGCCAGGCTAGCTCGTTCCTTGCCCGTAACCGATCGCCAGTAGTAGTCATGGCCGGTGACCGGCCGAGGAAGAAGGAAAAGAAAGAGAAAAAAAGAAAAAGACAGAAAATATAATTAAAAATTTCTCAGGAAAATCAAATTACATTTTCCATACCGAACAACGAAAAATATTTTCTCGTTCATTTTCATGTTTAGGCTAAACACGGGAAAATACTATCATCTTCCTAGAAAATGGCTTTTTGGAAAATATTTTCCAAAAATGCTACATTTTCTGCGAAACGAATGGAGCCTAAGTTTGAATTGGCCTCCGCACAATAAATTTAAGACTGACTTAATAGCTGCCCCTAAATAATTTATTGCAACATTTATTTCTTCTAAATCGGTAATAATTTATTATCAGGATCCTCATAAGAATTAGATATGCAAAATTTAGATATTTGCTAAAATTAGACATCCGCTAACATTACAGGTTTTCTAGCTGTAGTGTGCCACGTGAGTCATCATCATACGAGTTTTACCCACTTTTATATTTATTGACATATGGATTGATATCGAAATGCTAGTATCATTTCCTTGAATTACCTCATCTCACCCAGAAACTTCGGTGACCACCTAAGTATATTGTAAGCTTTCCAATAAGATATCATTCGCCCGACACCCTAGTTCGTCTCAAACGAAATAGAACACAAAGTGAAATTAAAACCTAAGGATCTAAACCAAACAATACGTATACCTAACGAGAGTGAGTCAAGCTTGCCGGTGGCATGAGAATTGCGAGAATCCCAAAATGGATTTAAACAGTACTTGAATACAAAATTTTATAAAGTTATGGTCAAACAAATAATCATGCCCGATAAACGTGAACCCATTTCACATGTACCATTGGATGAAGTGGGTCCCATATGGAACCCAGTGATCTAGTGGTGGATGTGAGCTAGGTTCACATAATCTGGATGCATTCGATACTTGCTCATGGTACAAGTGATGGCGACAAGACTCTAGGCTCTAAAATAGAATTTGCGCAGGACACCCATCATCACAATCCTCCTTAACTTAATCAAGTCATGCATAGAAAAGTTCGCGTCAGTGAATTGGTCCACTTGGCCTCGTACAGTACCAAACATACGTATTGAACGTGTTGGCATGACGCGTCAAGACTAGTTGATGCTTTGGTTAGGTCAAGCACACGGCAAGACATGAGCCGTCGTTATCTGGAAGCAGCAGCGAATGTTCGTTTGTCCCCATGAGGATAGGACCCCAATTCTTACTGTAATCACATCTATAATGGGTGGATAACGTTACTACATGGCTTGACTTATTGAGTACATTTATTCGCAGACGAGCATTATAGATCTCAAGGAAACGACGAAGCAACATGCTTTTATTCATCTAGCCAATATTCGACGAAGAGAGGGACGCATTTTGCTCCAAAGTTCAAACAGAATGACAAGTTAGAAAGCAAAAGCACGAATGATCAATATCCACTCGAACGACTCACTGCAACACACAAACCAACCGAGGTACAACCTTACAAGAAAAATCCATAGAAAGCCATTAACGGCGACCATATAAGCCGAATTATTATTTTCATTTTTTTTTTGAAGAGGCTTGAAAAGGTGGTGTTTGTTAATGGATGGGTTATCTACTGAAACGAAATGAACCGCTTAGCCAGTGCCACCAAGAACACCCTTAAGCTTCTTAACCTGAGCATCGTCAAGGAAAGTGGTGGCCTCCACCAACTCAGAAGGAAAATTATTAGCGAACAGAGCAAAGTCCAGGATTTGAAGCCCAGGGCTCGGACTGCTGAAGCTGACAATGGCAAGTGCTGAACCTTTACCCGAATTCAATTGGAAGTGCAATAGCCCCTGAGGGAAAATCATGCTATCCCCTTTGTTGAGGGTCTTCAAGTAGACGTTGTTTGCTGATGACGAGATGAACCCGGCACAGATTGTCCCTTGGAGAACGATGAGGACCTCTGAGGCGGCCGGGTGCGTGTGCAATGGGATGACCCCACCGGTGGCCAAGTCCAGGCGGGCCAATGAGATGCCGAGCCCATTCAGGCCAGGGAACTGGGCTACGAATGCTGGGGTCACCGCAGCCTTGATGAGGTTCGAGGTGTTCCCAGCCATGCCGAGGCCTGAGAAGACGAAGTCGTCCACGGTGACTGCCGAGACCTTCTTGCAGGTGTAGCCCGCGGGGGTATCAGGGCCTGAGAGGTCTCCAACGCAGAAGTCCTGGACCGCCGCGTGGGAGGCGGAGAGGAGGAAGGAGAGCAGAATTAGGGATTGGAGTATCGACATTCTTATGCCAACTCTTTAATTTCTTGGGAGAAAGATTTCCTTTGGAATGTGTGTTTGAGGGATTCATGGGGAAGTATATATAGAGTGGCACATCGTGGATATTCTGAGGCATCGTGAGTCGCTGAGAGGATAACAGACCCCACGCAGGGTTTCACTTGCATGGCAATGCAAGAAATGGGTACGCTGGAAGAGATAAATTGCAACCCGTGATACTTGTCGGAGGGTAATCTCTTCGCAGAAAAGAACAAGAAGGTTCTTTTTGTTTGGAAATAGAGGACCATGTGAAAATATCTTTTGATATTTTGAGGCTTCGGTAAAGAATATTCGTCTCTTCGAAGAATATGAACTTCAAATACATTTCATTAGGAAGAATTCAATGAAAAGTTCAAACCTCTAATTATCACTAGAAGTACCGTATTATAACTAGTTCACACTACTTTGGCATTGTTTTTGGCTGTTGTTTAATTTGGTTTTCAAATTTACAACAGAGATAACTATGTGTTTGCTCTGTGGAAATTGAAGAGCATCGCTGAATAAAAAGGAACTTCTCTGTATCCATCATTTCTTTTCGAGCTTATAACAATCGAGATCATATGGTAAGAATACTGTGAAGGTACACCTGTGATCATATCAGCAGTGATAGCATAAAGAAAAATATACATGAAGTACAATGTCTTTCCGGACACCAAGCCTTTTGAAATTACTGGTTGCAACCGACCTGTATATGATAGGGACTATAGAGCTACTGGGCATATCCACAACTTATTTTTAAAGTGACAAAGAATGGTCAATCTACTCTAGAATGTTTATGAGTTATATTTGAAGAAGTTTACTTAGCTACAATTGAGAGCTACATCGTCGATAAGCCAGTAATTAAATTTAGTGCATTGCTTGTCACTTACCATGGCTTGAGATCCTTCAATATGAAGCGGGGGCTGCTTTTTTTTTTAAATCTTTTTTGTAATGCATTTTGTGCTTCTTAAACTTGCATGCGGTATTTAGACATGTAATTCACTAATCAGAGAGGGGTTGGAGTAAGTTCGTAGCAATCAGAAATCGAAGAAAACATGGCTCTTAAAACTTTGGAATAATCGCTTGAGCATTTGATCTAACTATAGGAACTGTAGGAATTACCAGGACAAATAAATGACACTGCTCATCTCAAAGGGGCGAATTTCACTCTACATTATTGGAGTGCTTCTAAGTATCTTTTACCAAATCTTATTTAACTTGAAAGAAAAGAGGAATTTGAATTATATGAAGTTATAGGAGCATCCGAATATAGTAATCTCAAGAGAATCAAGAAGGTGGTCCATGAGCACATGGGAGGAGAGATATGAGGGCATAAGAGGACATACATGACAGCTAAAAAGTATTGTCCCTGCAAACTGCAAAGTCTTTGTTTCCGTTGTCTCAACGTTGGCCACGAATATGGGTGGATATTGCGAATTCCCCATCTTCTAGGGTTTCCCAGATTTCAGGGAGCAACGTAAAAGAAAAGCTTGTCCTTGATTTCATGCATGACATTTGTCAAGATTGTCTCGATTGACTTTGTTTAGCGGATTTGATGCTTTAATGTTTGTCATTTGGTATCTTCCTCACCTATAAATTGACCTATTTAATCAGAATAGTATGATAACCATAATTCCATGGAGAGACGTGGCGATAACTCTCCCATTAATGTAATATAAAACTTTAATTGGGACTACTTGGTCTATCTAATGTTGACAATGACACTATATTACAGAAAAGTTCCTTGTTATATATACCATAAATTATAATCAATGGGAAATTCAATAATCATCGATCAATCGTACAAATTACATTTATGACTTGCTTCGGTCAGCTCCAGTGTCACACCAAAATTGGCCGAGCGCACGCAATCAAGCTACATTGGACTCAATCAGTGATTGTGTTCAGCTTAGCTAAGTGATCGTTTGAGTTAAGATTGGACTTTGCTGTCTTAATCTGCAGCCTAACCCAAGTCGTCCTGAGTTGGCCTATTGAGTAATCCTTGGGTGCAATATCCTCTTCTTTCTAATTTGCCCTCGCATGATTATGCTTCCTTTGCGCGCAAAGCTCCACCCAAGTGGACCGAATCGACCATCACTAGAACAAAAAGTTGGAAGATAAAGCCAAAATGCATTAAAAACGGTCCACTCCCTCTGCCATTTCACCCCAGTGAACAGGCTAAAGGCCATGATATACGGCAGTCAAGATATTTCCAAAATGGCCATGATATATCACTGAAAGAGAAACTTCATGTCCTACTTCTTTTCTATTGGCTGCGTACATTTGTTGTGTACTGGGGGCTGAGTGTGAACTGATAACGGCATTGTTAACCTTTTCTTTCTAAAGCCCGTTCAAATCCCTTCTCCCACGTTCAAAGGTCAGTTGTAGATATTTGCTGTCAATCACGCCGAGAATTGTAATGTAGAATTTGAGACACAGGCTCTGTCCAAAGGGCAGAAATTTTTTTTAGTTCATTTCAGGTTTTAGCTGAACACTGAAAAATATTGTCATTTTCTTGGAAAATGATAACTTGAAAAACATTTTCCATAAAACCTCATATTTTTTGTGAAACAAACGGAGCCTAAATGTGTAAATCAGCTACTTTGTTAGATAGTTCAGCCCAAAAGATATCGAATTATGAGCGGCACATGATATTTGACTAATGGGAGGTGAACTCACATTCGCGAAAAGTATAGTACTAGCCTTGATACCATATTAGATAGTCCAACCCAATAACATAAGATGATGGGTGGAAGCATATAAAACCCGTTGTCAAGCAATATGGAACAATACTTCAACTTGTATCATGTCTGAATTTCAATCTGTTACACATTCATTTTGGTGATTTTACTATTCTATATCAAACAAAAGGTTATGAAATTACTCGGTAACATGTCAATAACTAGTTGACACATTCATAAAATTTCCATTTTTTTTTACAGTTTGCAAATGACCATTTTTTTTAATCTTTTGCCAACTTTTATTTACATTTTTTTACCAATGCATTAAATTTAATGGTCCTTATATAAATTTACCAATCTTTATTCAAGTGAATTATCAGTTCTTTTTTTTTTTTTATCTCCGACCAAAAAAAAAATTTCAATTCTTTTTTTTTATCAAATTACCAACTACTTTTGTGCTACAACTCTTGTCTGAGTTATTTGCCAATATTTTTTTTTAATTTATCAATTTGTTATTGTTTATCAACTTTTATTTATCGTTCTTTTTTTATTTTGATAACCCACGAACAAGAGCATAAACGTCTAGCTACCTAAGGACTCATGAAACATAATGTAATAAGCCTCACGAATAGGTTAAGCGCAGGCCTTTGGCTAGTGCAGGTAACTCCAACCTAGAACAATTTGTATGCGGTTGGTAGGATTCGAACATGTAACCTCCAATTCTTGAGTTGAATTTTAAACACCTTAAATCTATCTACTCTTGTATGAATTTACCAATATTTATTTGTGTGACTTACCAGCTTTTCTCCCATTAGGTTATCAATTAGTTTTTTTTTACCAACATTTATTTAAGTTGCTTAATTATTTTACTTTAACAAATTTTCTATTGAGTTAACAACCCATTAATTTACCAACTTTTTTTTTAGAAAACACCGATTTTAATTTGAATGGATTCTAACTTTTTTCTGATTAAATTAGCAACTTTTGCAATACCAACTCTTACTTGAGTTAGTCATCAATGTTTGTTTAGCTTTTTTCTTAATTACCAACTTCTCTTGTCTCTAACAAAAGAAAAACTTATCTTATTTTTAACAATTTTTATTTACCTATCTTACCAACGATTTAAATTTATCAATTATCATATGAAAATGTCAACTTTAATTTAAGTGACTTACCAACTTTTCTTCAATTAAGTAAACATCTTTTGCTTTAACAACTTTGGTTCATTCTAGCCTTAAATTTACCTTTCAATTCTTTCTCACTTCATTCTCTCCAGCCTCTATACACACCCCAGTAAAATGGAATTTATAAACTGCAAAATGTTGATTCGTGACCGCTCCAAAGTTTGATTTTCCCTTTAATGACATGATCATCGTATCACAAATTTTCCTATTTGAAGGCAATAAATCGAGAAAATATCGGGACCCACCAGCTCGAATCGAGATTATAGCAGCCGGTCGGAATTGCTCTACAACCTGCGATATTTCAAATGGGTCCGTAGCTCGAGCTTTGGACAAGATGTCGTTGGTCCCGTCAGGCATGCGATTTTTCCACTTCTCCAATAGCGACTAGTTGGTTGATGAGATTGATGTACCTCGACCAAAAGAAAAAAAATGCCAATCAATGACAGCTTTAGAGTATAATCATCAACAAAATATCAAGCCCGTAAAATTCAATCAAACAAGCGATTTTATTGAATCGGACAAAGCAATAAATAAATAAAGCCAAAAAACGGATATCGCAGTTATAAGACGAGTAGGTCTCCCTCGACCATACAAATGCACGACGAGCCCGTGCAAGACGTTTGATTAAAATATGGAAGATTCCTCCTAGGATTCCAATTTCATCAGAGTTGAGTTCAATAATGCTTTTCTAGTTTTATGGTCCATTTGTTTCACGGAAAATGAAGAATTTAAAAAATATTTTTCAAAAAATAATAACTTGTGTTACTTACAAAATTGAATGAACGGAAGATATTTTTGTCGTCCAAGAAATATTTAGACGTGTATTTTTGTCGGTAATGAAAACATTTTTCATTGATGAATTATTTTAAATAATACAAATAATCATTTTAGGAAAATATTTTTCAAATTATTCATTTTTCACGAATAAATGGAACCTTAGATCTCCTATCCTCTTACCTCAGAGATTTGATTGGATACTGTATATCCGGTATGCACATAATGCAATATGGTATACGGCAATCAATGACAGCTTTACGGTATAATCATCGACAAAATATCAAGATATGTTGGTAGGAACCATAAGCAAAGCACGACCACGATTATACTTTGAGCATTTTTTTTTTGGGTCGAAATACTTTGAGCATTTGTTGTGCTATAACTCATGTGCTTTTTCAAATGTCAAAAAAAAGAAAAGATTGATCTTACAGGTATAGTTTCTCCCTATATGTCAATTTATTGCCCTTCAATAATTTTTTATTAAGAAATCATAAACCATATATGACTTGTCTATAAGCATGGTTAGACTCAGACAAATCATAGTTAAATAGAGGGGAAAAATGAGATTTTACATTTTTTTCTCAATAGAAAATAGGAATTTTGTTACCAGTGTACAATTTAGGCTTCACATTTACACGATCGACATTTGGAAGAATTCGGTTTCAAAATTCAAATACACATGTCACTCATCAAATTATGAATATGTAACTATCTTTTTACCTTAGCAGTGGACCTAATAAGAATTATAAAAAAATTATCATCTTATACTTCTTAGCAGTCCTTTGTGGTCCATTTTGAGTGCCTTTTACATTGGTAGGGGCCACGGCTAGGTTTTTGGGCCCAATATGTTGGTGAAAATATCATCCTCACTTTTGATTCTTTTGAAAATTTCAGGACGCATATTTACTCCATAGAGTATATAATTTTTTGTATTTTGTCCCTTTACCATTTTTAAATTTTTTCCTAATAAAATATCTTCCTTACTTACGACAGAAGATGGAGCCCCTCTATTTGAACCGCATCCACCACTTTCTTCCATGCGTCCCCTTGCTCCTCGGTATAAATCCCAGGCCCATGTGGAAACCTACGTTCACTTATTATGATGCATCATGAGCTGAGCTATAAAATAAGTTTAAGAAAAGAAATATTTTCGAAAGAGCGAAAAAGAAAAACAAAGGCAAAGAAAAGAAAAACATGCTGTTAAGTCTACGACGTTAGACGATGGGCTTATACTCTTACCAAACCTTCGTCATAAATGGAAACATGAAATCTAGAGCCACACAGATGTTTCCTGTAGTTTTGGAGATTGGTACACTGAGCAACTCTCTCCGTCAAAAGAAACTCTGATCAAATTATCAACACGTTTACGAAATTACCCGGCCCCGGTTGTCCGAGATGACGGTGCCTTCAGTAATGAGAAGGCAGAGTCGTCCTCTGCCCATTATACCCCACCACAGCTGGTTTCGGAGTCCCATTTAAGGCTCCGTATCTTGTCATCGGCGCAAGCACCACCCTGCACCACCGCAGCAAAAGAGTCGCCGCTTAGCTAATGATACCAGTATAGCACGACTGCATGGTTCATCCCAACGATGGCTATTACATCACAGATTTATGACAAGTTTGGATTATTTTTTTTCACAGTTTTAGCTATTATGTCAGTAAGTCAAATGTACAAAAAAAAGTAATAACGCGATGGCTTCTCTACAGTGTCACCAAGCAAGCCAAATCGAATCTCGAGAAAGGAATTTGCACACAATCAGGATAAATTAATTCGATGGAGTCTTGTTGGATGCTTGAATATAACCTACTTACTTAATACTCATTTATCGTGTTAGAATTTCAAAGCATAACCCAAGTCAAGATTTCGAACTCGATAGCATTATCATTGTGCGTCACGACACTAAGGCATGTGGTACGGCGTATTTCGGTCAATTGTAGGTACTTACTTACATGGGGAAAAGTGCCAAAAAAGTCCTAAACCTTTTGCATTAGTGCCAATTTAGTCCTAAACCTTTTTTTGGTGCCAATTCAGTCATAAACCTTTTGCATTGGTGCCAATTTAGTCCTAAACCTTTTTTTGGTGCCAATTAAGTCCTAAACCTTTTAAATTGGTGCCAATTCAGTCCTAAACCTTTTATTTTTGTGCCAATTTAGTCCTTCCGGTCAATTTTGACCGAATTCTTGACGTGGGCCTGCCGGCGGCAGGCGGTCACCGGCGCCGATGTGGCGCCGACGTGGACAAATTAAATAATATTTTAATATTTTTTGAATTTTTATTTTTTCCTTTTTTCTTTTTTTTTCCACTTTTTTTTTTGGTTTCTTCTTCATCGGCCGGTCGCCGGTCCGGCGACGGCTCAGGCTGCGTGGCCGGCGAGCTCGACCTCGCCGGCCCCGGAGAGGCGGCCTCGCCGGCGAGGCCGAGCCTCGCCATGGTCGGGCGAGGCTCGACCTCGCCGGATCCGGCAAGGTCGAGCCTCGCCCGGCCGCCGGCGAGGCCCGACCTCGCCGGATCCGGCGAGGTCGGCCTCGCCCGACCATGGCGAGGCTCGAGCCCTCGCCGGAGGCTGCGGCGAGGGCGAGCCTCGCCCGACCATGGCGAGGCCCGACCTCGCCGGGAGGCCGCGGCGAGGCGAGCCTCGCCATGGTCGGGCGAGGCCCGACCTCGCCGGATCCGGCGAGGTCGGCGTTCGCGGATCCGGCGAGGTCGGGCCTCGCCCGACCATGGCGAGGCTCGCCCTCGCCGCGGCCTCCCGGCGAGGGCTCGAGCCTTGCCTTGGTCGGGCGAGGCCCGACCTCGCCGCGGCCTCCGGCGAGGGCTCGAGCCTCGCCCGACCTCTGGCCTCTGGCCGGTCGCCGGACCGGCGACCGGCCAGAGTAAGGAGGAAGACAACCAAAAAAAAAAAGTGGAAAAAAAAAGAAAAAAAAAGGAAAAAAATAAAAATTCAAAAAAATATTAAAAAAATATTAAAGTTGTCCACGTCGGCGCCACGTCGGCGCCGGTGACCGGCCGCCGGCCGGCAGGCGTCCACGTAGGCAAATTCCGGTCTAAATTGGCCGGAAGGACTAAATTGGCACAAAAACAAAAGGTTTAGGACTGAATTGGCACCAATTTAAAAGGTTTAGGACTTAATTGGCACCAAAAAAAGGTTTAGGACTAAATTGGCACCAATGCAAAAGGTTTAGGACTGAATTGGCACCAAAAAAAGGTTTAGGACTAAATTGGCACTAATGCAAAAGGTTTAGGACTTTTTTGGCACTTTTCCCTACTTACATGAGAGGATACTGAATAGCCTCTAAACCCATTGAAATAAAAGATTTTATGATTATCAATCTAACGTAATATTAGAAACAAAAGAGTGCATTGAAGCTCAAAAGTTACTTGGGTTGGACCATCGGGCTTCTGATTGTGGATATATAGCCTCAATGTTCAAGAAGCTTTTTGGGTTGTTTTCGGTGAAAAGAGGAGGAAGCTTCTTGGTAGGATAGAGAAACGAGTGCTAATGAATAAGTTTTTATGTGTTGAGAGTGGTGTTCCATCGGCATCCGTTCGAATTTCCACGCCATCGAGTATAGATATGTAATATTTAGATCACTCACTCAGGTCTGGGCTCACATCCTATCTGATCGATGAGATTATTTAATATGGCACTTCATCAGCTGAACAGTAACTTAGGTAGTTTACACGAGCATCTTCGTTATTAAAAAAAAGGGATAAGTGCATTGAAAATCCTAAAATTTATCAAGAAAGTGCAATTGAGTCTTAAAACTTTCAAAATGTTTAATTAAGTCTTAAAACTTGTCGTGAAGGTTCTATCGAGTCCAAAAACTTTCAAAAAGTGCAATCAAGTCATAAAACTTATCACAAAAGTGTAATTGAGTTCTAAAACTTTCAAAAAATGCAATCAATGGAACGACTTGATTGGATCAATTTGACAAGTTTTAAGACTTGATTGCACTTTTTAAAGTTTTAGGACTCAATTGTACTTTGGTGATAAATTTTAGGATTTCATTGCACTTTTTGAAAGTTTTAGGACTTAATTGCACTTTTTTGATAAGTTTTAGGACTTCTAATACACTTGTCCCTAAAAAAACTATCTTGCTTCTGTTTATTTAATAACATAAGACCATTAAAATGTTTAAATATTAAATAACGCTTTCATCTAACAAAGATAATTATCTGTGAAGAATTTAAGTTGTTGACATACAAATTCCACATATATATTTTCTATATGTGGGGGAAAAGTTTGCTTGTGTGTAGGTGGGCGTAACACTTGAATTGTAGGATGCAAATGTCACTACATCAAACGACTAAGTGGAGGCAAGATTCCTTATATAGAAACATATAGGTTACATTGAAGTAAGGAATTGACCCGAGTCACATTGTTATTATTAGAGGGTTAAAAATAACAACAGCCATGTATATTTTTGGTTAAGATTGTATGTGGCTAATTTTTATGGAAAAATTACCCAATCAGTCCTAAACTTATAGTATGGGTGTCAATTCAGTTCTAAATTTTTTAATTTTGCCTATTTAGTCTTAAACCTTTGCGCGAAATTCCAATGGAGTCATTTTGATTAATTTTTTTCGGAAATCATTAACATTGCGGTCCAGTCATTACCTGTCGTCCTACGTGGCATACTCCCATGTTAGGAATTTCCGGCGAAAATTGATCAAAAAGACTACATTTGAATTTCGCAAAATGTTTATGACTAAATTTGCAAAATTGAAGAGTTTAGGACTTACTTGGTATTCTTACCATAGGTATAGGATTAATTGGACAATTTTCATATATATAGAACACCAATTTGGATGTTTGATGGGGGAAAGTTTTCTCCGAGATGGAGGAAATCACAATTTCGAAGAAATTAATGGATCAGATTGTACATTTTTTGTATGAAATGGAAATTCTCTCTCCAGATTTTTACACAACGTAAAAAATAAAAAAAAGTGTAAATAACAAAATATATGTCCTTATTTCATTCACCAATTTTCACCACTGCAAGCATCCGTCGGATACACCAAGTACTTTTACCCCTCATTCAAACGCTTAATACAGATCTAGTTCTCTCAAGAACACACTTTTGTCATATGAGAGTCCTCGCCATTACTTTCTTGGTTAAGGAAAGGATAGTCTGTGTATCCAACAACAGGGTCATGAGTATAAAAGGTCTCTCGAACGTAATCATTTAATGGTGCATTAATCTTGAACCTATATACTACATCAAGATTAGAAATGAAAGTTCGACCGTACGATATCAAATCCACATCACCGTTAGTCACGGCCCTCATCCCTAGCTCTCGAGTGGACCCGCCGGCTAACATAAATGTACCTTGATAAGCTCTTCTTAGAGTCCGCATGAACTTGGCATCTTCATCTTTTGTACCAATTTATTCAAGATATGGCATGACTCGCAATTGAGTTACATGGAGATAAGCGAGTTTCAATCCCATATCAGCTTGGAACGTGTTAAGTTGTTCGATCACCATGAGTCCTAGGTTGAGTAGATCAGAATCCATGGCATCGATATAATTGGATATAGGCGAAATTCTAATTGCAACTCGATCATTGCCAATAGCTGCAACTCCTGCTCGAACGATCTCCATCAAGAATCTGCATCTATTCTCAACTGAACTGCCATATTCATCAGTTCTATTGTTGATTGCATCCTTCAGGAATTGATCAATGAGATAGCCATGTGCTGCATGGAGCTCGATCCCATCAAAATCTAACGTTTTTCCAACAATAATGTCAAAAGAATATTGTGTGACCAACTCTTAAAATGTTCGAACTATTATTGGTCATTCACTCGATCTGCATAGATGGACTAGGCAATGCCTAGTCGGCATAGGGTCACATTAGGTCATATGGGAGTTATGTGGATCTATAAAATTGATTATGAATGCGTCAAGTGCACGTCACCTTTAGGGTACCTAACATTAATATAGCTGTTAATTGTAATCTCATATCACTTGATTATGTGATTATAATGTGCCCCATATAGATAGTCTTAATAGAATCTCTAGATTCCACATGTTTATTTAGTGATATAATCAATCTTGACTATGAGACAACCCTTTTTTTGCTTTTAGTGCACCAAGTCACTTTCTTAACGTAAATTTTCACTTCTACTATCAAGTCACCATCTTGTAACCACTTGATTCTGTTCAATTTAATTAATTTCTGTTTGAATCCTTATTCAATGCACGTGAACGCGAAAATTACATAAGTGGAAAATTTTGAATGTCAAGTCTTATCAAAATTAAAATGAACAACAGCTTAGGATAGTGAATTAATGCACGAAATCTCGTAGCCTAACCTGCTCGGATGGAGTTGATTGCTGCCTGACGAAATTGCTCGACAACCTTCGGAATTTCACATGTATCCAAGGCTCGAGGTTTGGAGAAATTGTCTTGGGTTCCATCAAGCATGAATACTTTCCAATTCTCCGATATGGACCTGTTGGTTGACGAAATTGGTGCACCCCCACCAGGCTGATATACTAAGAAACAAGAAATAAATTATCACTAAGCAATAATATAACTCCAATTCCCAAGATGCCAACGTAGAAAAATGGATCAATCGAGAGAGAAATTTCGTATATAGTGAAAAATTAAAGAAATTACTTTTATGGGATGCCCGACCCGCGTGCCACAATTGACAGAAGATTAGACCGCCCTTGGCATGAACAGCATCCACCACTTTCCTCCATGCTTCGATTTGTTCTTCGGTGTAAATTCCAGGAACATGTGGAAACCTAAATCCAATGTATTTTTTATACTAAACCAAAATTATAAACTGAGTCTAAGGATTAATACACAGTTAATTATGTATTTTTCACTTCAAGAAAATATAATTTATTCATGTAAGTAATTAGTGGGTAGTTTATTAGATCTTAAACTGAAAGTGGGTTAGAACCAAAACCGAACCGATCGACCTGTTCATCTTCATTTGGCTCTATTCCAAACATTTACAATCTGCAATTTAATTGAAAATAAAGATTATTAGAAGTACCCAATTCCCTCTTGAGAGATGGTGGTGGCTTCTGTAATGAGAAGGCCTCCCTCCGTCGACCGCTGCCTGTAATACTCAGCCAACGCCGGCTGCGGCACTCCGTTCAAGGCTCGGCATCTCATCAGAGGCGCAAGCACCACCCTGCACCGCCACGCCAAACATGACTCCGTTTCGTCTCACATGACCCAATTACGAATTGAAAGCGGAGAGCAAGAGCACCTAGGATCATCTATAGAAGACCAATACACACCTGTGTGAGAAGTTGAATTTGCCCATCGTGTATGGACTGAAGAGGTTTGTCGTTGCTATTTTTGGTTCAGATAAAACAGAAGAAGAGAACGACAAATAGAGAAGATAACGTTTGGGAAAGCCCGAAGATGCGTTATTGATGGTGTTGATGGCTCTATTCATATAGACCCAAATGAAGGGAAAATTTCAAAAAAACCCCTGAAATGGGGCATTTTTCTCAAAATATTCATTAAAGTGGGGTTTATCTCAAAGTACACCTGAAGTTGGTGACTTCGTCTCAATTGACCCTCAAGCTCACCAGCGACCCAAATTTTTACCTTACGATGATCACGTGCATGTCACTTGTCGAATTTCACACCATGCACAGTGGCATTTTGTCCCAAAATGTCTATTTACCATCTTTTCTCCCATAAGGTTATCAACTCATTTTGGTTTACCAAACCTTCATTTAAGTTGCTTATTTATTTTAATTAAGTAATTTTCTATTGACTTACCAACCCATTAAATTTACTTACTTTTTTTAGAAATCACCATCCTTCATTGAGGTGGAAGCTAACTTTTCTCTGATAAGTTACCAACTTTTGCGATATCAACTCTTACTTGACTAAGTAATCGACATTTGTTTATTTTTTTCTTAAATTACCAACTTCTCTTCTCTCCGACGAAATAACTTGTCTATTTTTTTAACAACTTTTATTTACCTTTGTTACCCATGCCTTTAATTTTTTTTGGGGGTATGAAATAGCCTTTCTCATTCATTTAGATAAAAAAGAAGGATACATAGCCAAAGCATCATAGCAAAGCAAGTCCCAAAACGCTTGATGTGGATAAGTAATCCAATTTCTCGATAGGCTTTTCTTTCTTTGGGCTTTTGCAACCCAGTTCGCAACTTCATTGGACTCCCTAAAGCAATGGGCCAGTTGGAGATTTGAAAAGCACATCCGCAGATCACTTCCTTCATTGATAAGAGCTCTAACCTCCCACTTCGGTTGAGTTGTGCCTGAGAGAGCGTAGATCAGTTCACGTCAGTCGGATTTCAAGATTAGGGTTTCTTCACTTTGTGCAAGAAGAAATTTTAAGGTTTCAACCAACGCCAATGACTCCACCTGCGCAGCCGAGGTGACATGCACAGATTTGGCGAATCCATTAATGAGGCGTCCGGTGTAGTCTCTACAAACACACGCAATTGCTCCTTCGGATGTTTCTTCAACAAAAGACCCGTCGATTGTTAGAGTAATTAAATATTAAACCACACTTACATTTAACAGTTTAAGCTTTTAGAACAATTGGCTGTGGTCCCACAAAAATCTCTCATGATATCAGAGCCAGGAGGTCCCGAGTTCAAATCTTTTCGGCTCCATTTGCCTCCCCAATTAAATATGTCCATGCTTAGTACTAAGCCAAAGAAAAAAAAGACCAGACTAAGCACAAGGAGGAGTGTTAGAATAATTAAATATTAAACCACGTCTTCTTCTAATAGCTTAAGCTTTTAACAGTTGACAGTAGTCCCACAAAAATTTCTCACCTATGTTCACTTTGAGCGTGCCTGGGTTCGGGGGTTTCCATCTTCGAGGTGATTCTTTGTTTCGTTCTTCACTCTTCTTCGAGTTCCCTGCCCAACGATATATGTTCCGATGCAAAGTAATTGCCGATTGTCTGAGATGCTCTGGACTTGGGGTCTGATTCCGAAAAACAAAGTGGTTCCGAGCTTTCCATGCAAGCCACAAAATCACCGCGATGAGGTCTAAGGATGATAAGGCCTCTGGGTTTTCGTTGATCCTCAGAGGCCAGTCATCGAATCTTGTTAACCCTTGTCGCGTTTTAATTGACCATCATATAAAAGTATTAATTTTTAAATGACTTCCCAATTTTACTCTGGTTAAGTTACAGTCATTTGCTTTACCAACTTTTGGTTTATTCTAGCCTTAAATTTACCTTTAAATTTTTCTCGCTTCATTCTCTATATCCTCCATACACACCGCAATTAAATAAAATTTATAAACTGCATAACGTTGATACGTGACTGCTCCTAAGTTCGATTTCCACTTTAATGACATGCCCATCGGATCACATTACAAGACTGTAACAATCAATTTTTCCTTAGTGAAGGCAATAAATCGAGAAAATATTTTGACTCACCCTCTCGAATGGAGTTGTAGCAGCCTGTCGAAGTTGCTCGACATCCTCCAATATTCCAATTGTGCCCATCGCTCGAGGTTTCGAAAAGATGTTTGGTTGATGAGATTGTTAGTACGTCCACTGGGTTCGATAGACTAACCAAAGAAATTGTCAATCAGTGACAACTTTAGAGTACAATCATCGACAAAATATCAAGATATATTGGTAGGAACCATGTACAGAGCATGAGCGTGATTATACCTAGCATTTGTTAAGCTGTAACTCACCTGCTTTTTCAAATGTAAAAAGAAAAAATTTCATTATTTTTGCATGTTTAGTTTCTCCCTTTATGTCAATTTGTTGCCCATCAATCATTTTCATCATTATAGAAACATGAACCGCATGTAACTTGTTTACCAGCGCTCTCAGTATTGAAACACATTAAATGTCAAATGGAGGAGGAAAATGAGATTTTACTTTTACTTCTCTTGGAAAAAAAAATTGGAATTTCGTTAGGTACACTACTAGTGTAAAACCCAGTTTACACATTTATACGGTTAATATTCGGGAGAATTCGATTTTAACAATCTAAACATACATATCACTTATCCAACGATGAATGGATAACTATCTTTTTACACTAGCAGTGGACCCGATAATGTATCCTAAAAAAATACCATCACAAAATTCCTAATTGCTAGACCAAAAGATTCATCTTATTCTTCTCAGCAGTCCTTTGTGGTCCATTTTTTAGTACCTGTACATGGGTAGGGGCCACGGCTAGGGTTTTGGGGCCAATATGTTGGCGAAAATATCATCCTTGCTTTTAATTCCAGTGAAAATTTCAGGACGAATTTTGACCTCATAAAGTATATAATATAATCTATTGTGTTTATTTTGTCCTTACCCCGATGCGAGGCAGGTAAGGCATCGCCCAATTGACAGAAGATGAAGCCATCGCTAGGAGTGGACTGCATCCGCCACTTGGTTCCATGCTTCCACTAGTTCTTGGGTATGAATCCCAGGCCCATGTCGAAACCAATTTTTCATTTATCATGCATCATGAGCTTAATAATAAATTTTAAGAACAGAAAAATCTTGACCTAATTTTTAGTAACTCTTCTGAGGAAAAAATGCTAAAATAGCAAGATGTTGGTATTAGATAGGGTCCATGTTGAAAATAAATTTGCTTAAACATGCTGGTAACTGGTAAGTCTTCAACGTTAGACTGGGTCTAAGGACAATGGGCTTATACTTTTACCAAGATTCATCATAAAATGGTCCATCATTGATCTTGTGTGTTTTTTTTTTTTTTTGAATTTCAGGACGAACAAGATGTTCTATCTAATAAAAATCATCTGAAGTCACCAATCACAGGATAATTCACAAATTACACTTCGAAGGTAGAGAAACCCCCCACAGTTCACATTCAGTTTTTTTCTTCATCAACTTGGAAAAAAGTTCTTATGATAATCAAAGTTCATCCAATCTAATATAATGCAATATTAAAACTAAACGAGTGCATTGGGTCTCTAGTTTAGTACCTTCCATAGAATGTGCCTACTAAAACAAAAGAGCAGCTAATAAAAGAAATAAAAACTAGAAATACACATGTTTCAGTGGCATGTAACTTCCACCTGTTGGTTACTCCATTGATTCTCAACTTCCAAGATTTACAGGTTTCAAGAAATCTAACATGAACATATAGGAGACTTCCCTTCCTTTTTGCAATCAAAATTTTGCATCTTGAAACGAGAGACTAAGTATGCATGTGTGCAGCGCAGGCTTAAATACTAGTACCACGAATTCGAAATGATATAGTAACGGGACTGCCCTGTGGGAGAGATTGAACCTACCCATCTGACAAGGCGTAAAGCGATCTGCCATTTGGTTTTCGGTTGAGAAAACGATATGGAGTGGTTTAATGAATTTGTAAAGAAATCCTGAAAGAAGTAGATGTGTTAAACCTTTGGTATGGAGCAAATTTGAAGCTTATAAGTTAATTGGATTGGACCATCAGTCTTCTGATTGTTATTATATATAGCTGGGGAAGTGGTCTGTTGGCGACTTTTGTGAAATTTGATCCGCTTTCAACTCTTCTCAATGTTTAAGAAACTTCTTCGGTTGTGTCAGTAAAAAGAGGATGAAGGTTCTTTGGGTAGCATAGAGAAATTAGAGCTAACGAATCAGTTTTTATATTTTAGAGAATGATGTTCGATCGGCACCTGTTCGAGACAATCATTTGTGAATAACTGAAGTTGTCGAAATACAAACTCATCGAATTATATAGTAATTATATGTTTTCTAACACTTTCCGCAGGATGCAAACGTAACTACATCAAACGACTAAGTGGAGGCAAGAATACTTATTGAGAAACAGATAACATTGCAGGAAGGAATAGACCCGAGTTACACCAAATACTTTTACCCCTTATTTAGACACTTGATACTGATCTAGTTCTCTCACGAACATACTTTTGTCACGTGAGAGTCCTTGTCCTTGTTTTCTTGGTTAAGAAAAGGATAGTTTGTGTATCCAACGATAGGGTCATGAGTATAAAACGTCTGTTGGACGTACTCATTTAGTGGTGCATTAATCTTGAACCTATATACTAAATCGGGATTAGAAAGGAAAATTCGACCGTATGAAATCAAATCCACATCACCGTCGGTCACAGTCTTCATCCCTAGCTCTCGAGTGAACCCGCCGGCCAACATAAATGTACCTTGATAAGCTCTTCTTAGAGTACGCATGAACTTGGCTTCTTCATTTTCTATACTAATTTGTTCAGGAGATGTCATGAATTGAGGTCGAGTTACATGGAGATAAGCGAGTTCCGTTCCCATATTAGCCTAGAATGTATTGATTTGTTCGATCACTGCGAGTCCTAGGTTGAGCGGATCAGAATTCATGGCATCGACATAATTGATCATGGGAGAAAATCTAACTGCAACTCGATCGATGCCAATTGCTACAACTGCCACGCGAATGATCTCCATCAAGAAT